TATTGGATGTTCGTGTTAACAGAAGCGCAGAGCTGTCAACTGATCACCACCTTCTTGTTTGCAAGTTGTGCTGTGAGAAACGGAGTACCACATGAAGATCTGGTGACAGAAGCAACCGGACAATCAAATGGGCAACATTGTCCTCGGTGGACACGAGAGCGTAATTTGCAAACAGCATCGCACAACGGTTTGAACAGATTCTGGTGAAAAGGAGTGGAAACTCTTTATGACCGACAGGCTCGGAGCTGCCGCCGAATGTTGCGGTTTCAAAAGAGGTGGCATGTCACCTGGAGGAGAGAAAAGTACACTAGGGGTACAACTGGCTTTGAGTTGAGGAGAAGGCTACATTCAAGAAATGGCCTAAAAGCGAGCAGTCTTCAACTTGAATACGGCAGATGCGAAACGACCGGCTAAGTTAAAGCTGAATTCTACGAGAAATTGGATGAGGTTGAATTTCCAGATGGTAGGCAAGGTGTTCTGGCAGACAACCCGTAGCCTCTGCGGTGAAAAGAAGGACAGTCTAAAATTATGAAGGACAAGTCTGGACATCTTGTTATCGAGGATAAGACCAATCCTTAGCAATCGAAAGAGTATTTTGAGAAACTACTTAATATCGAGCAGTTGCAGAAAGACTCGCTTGAAGAATACACGGAATAAATGTTAGTATTTCGGTAGATAAAATCATACTAGAGATGAAGGTTTGAAAAGTGGACAGACTTCTGGCTTGCACGTTTTTGTCAAACTGCTATGGTTTCGAAGAAGACACCAGCAGACCTGAGAATGGGGGTTGCAGGTCCCCTATTCAAGAAGGGAGTTCACAAGGAGTGCTCCAGCTATCGTGGCATTATCTTACTGAGCTTCTTGGGTAAAGTCTACGCAAAGATGCTAGAAAAAAGGTGCCGAGCAATAACTGACTCTAGAACACGAGAAGCGAAGTGCGGTTTCTGATCCGCAGAGGCAATCTGACCAGATATTCGTCGTATGGCAGAATGTCGAGAAATCGTGAAGTTCGCTGAACCGGTTTATATGTACTTTGTTGACTGAGAGAAAGTCTCAGAACGGATCCCGCGCAAAATCTATGGCCACGGCTATGTAAATATAGGATCGATGGCCAGTTGATACGGGCCATCGATTCAGTATATGCTGATACGAGGTGCTATGTCAGAATAAATAACGCTAGGTTGAGACCTTTAAGAGTTGGCACAGATCTTCACTAACCTACGTTCTGTCCCCTATCCTGTTTGTGTTTTACATAGATAGAATAGTCAGAAGCAGCGAAAACCGATGAACAGATGAACCGAACCGTTGTGTGAGCTGTGGAGACAAGAAGGTTGCTCTTTTCGGACGACCTTGTTCTATTAGCATCTTGTGAAACTGGTGCACAATCCTCTTTACAATGGACAGCGACTTAGCAGGCATGCGTGTGAACCTAATCGAAATCAAAATCTTAGTGCTATTTCGCTCTCCTGCTTGTTGATCTCTTCAGATTAAGGGAGATGCACTGAAGTAGGTGAAGAAGTTCAAATATTTCGGAATCGAGTTTACTAGTGATAGAAAATTTGAGGAAGAGATCGACTGGCGAATTGGAGTAGCCAGTGGCATTCCGCGTCATCCTCCGTGTCTGAATTAGAGCTAAGTCTGAAGATGAGCTTTCGGTATTCAAGTCGATCTTTATCCCCATGCCAAGCTACTGTCATGAGTCGTGAATCATGGCTGAAAAACTTCGATCCCGG